ACACCTGGACCACATAAACTACACCTGGATCATAGGAACTACACCTGGACCATATAAACTATACCTGGACCACATAAACTATGCCTGGATCATAGGAACCACACTTGGACCACAGCAACTACACCTGGACCATAGAAACTACACCTGGATCATAGGAACTACACCTGGACCACATAAACTACACCTGGACCACAGAAACTACACCTGGACCACATAAACTACACCTGGATCATAGGAACTACACCTGGACCACAGAAACTACACCTGGACCACAGAAACTACACCTGGACGACATAAACTACACCTGGATCATAGGAACTACACCTGGACCATAGAGTTCTTATTCTCTCAGAGAGGAGCTGATTTGAAGCAGCTGGGAAGCCGAGGTCATCAGACAGTGACCGTCTGTGAGGGCTGATAAGTATTATAAAAACATTTCCTGTACACCGTCCGATACAGATCTTTGCGACCGGGGACATCTGTGTAAGCCTGTGTGAATGTCTGCCTTTGCAACTGGGTAAAAAGCATCTCTTGTCTTTGTGTGTGGCTCTTTTCAAGTAATGAAAGGATATTTTGATCGAACAGAAACTACATCTGGACCAGTCAGTCTGTGTCTGTGTCTCTTCCCTGTCTGCTCTAACCCCATCCAGTGGAGGGAGATGGCTGTCCATCCTGAATCTAGTCCTGCTGAATGTTTCTTCTTGTTCAAAAGGAGCTGTTTCTTTCCACAGTCGCCTATGTGCTGCTCAGGATGGGAGGTTGCGATGAAGTGATTTCAACACAATCTGCTGCTTTCGTAGATAAATTTTACTAACTGGAAGTTTATAATGTCAGTGAATGTTTTTGAGCCCTGAGAAAACTTTTGTTGTGAATTGGCGCTGAACAAATAAAGTGAAATGAATTGCAGTTGCCACCTTCCACACAGTTTCCACTAAAAGTCAATAGAACGGCTGTTTATTATCTGAACTAACTGATCCTGGATCAGTTTGAGAAGCTCACCAAAGTTCAGGAAGACGAGTTTGGCCTGAATGGAGGGGAAGAGTTTCACTATGACAGGAACAGAGACGTAAACGAGCAGCAGAAGCATCACGATCCTCTTCATCTTCCCCACCAGACCCAACCTGAGGAGAACCACAACAGGTAAGACACATCAGTGAGGACATCAGAACCAGGATGATAAACCTTCCTGGGTCAAAGCTGTGATGGTCTTCAGGGTTTCACCCAGTTTCAGCTAATCTGTCAGATTTTAAACTTGTAATGTTTCAGAGTGAAGTTGTGAGGGTGAAAACTGACTTCATGTTCCTGACTTTATCGGACCTTTGGTACATTTGTGTTAGAGGACATTTCATACCTGAGAATCCAAGCATGTGACTGCTCACACATCAGGCTGTTTTATCATGACCTCTGGATCAGAACATCTTCTGTTCTGGTTTTGGATCTGAGAAATCGGGCAGACATGGGTCAGCCACATCAGGTCTCTGGGTTTGTGCACACTCTGATTACAAGGGCTACAGGCTGACTGGCTCGTGGTCTGAGTCTGCAGGAATCACGAGCCGCACGTTTAAAACAAAATGGGTTTATGTTTTGTCTGAACCGGACCTCCAGCAGGAACCACTGAGTTCTGTTGGACCTGAGCTCTGCTATAGGGAATCTAATTCTATTCCCTCCAATTCTCTTAATAAATTGTCACAAATATCAGATGACCTGCTTAATTCTGAAGTCCAAAAATTATTTCACAAAGTTCACATTTACTGAGACGAAGACCTGAGCTGTCTCTTCCTCCAGAGACACGGAGTCTATTCTTCCAGAGACACAGATTGTCTCTTCCCACAGAGACACAGAGTCTATTCTTCCAGAGACACAGAGTCTATTCTTCCAGAGACACAGATTGTCTCTTCCCACAGAGACACAGAGTCTATTCTTCCAGAGACACAGAGTCTATTCTTCCAGAGACACAGAGTGTTTCATCCTCCGACAGACTGTCTCTTATTCCAGAGACAGTCTCTTCCCACAGAGCCACAGTCTGTCTCTTCTCTGTCTCTTCCCACCGAGACACAATCCGTCTCTTCCTCCAGAGACACAGACCGTCTCTTCCTCCAGAGACACAGACCATCTCTTCCTCCAGAGACACAGAGTATATTCTTCCAGAGACACAGATTGTCTCTTCCCACAGAGACACGGAGTGTTTCATCCTCCGACAGACTGTCTCTTACTCCAAAGACAGTCTCTTCCCAAAGGGACAGACTGTCTCTTCTCTGTCTCTTCCCACAGAGACACAATCTGTCTCTTCCTGCAGAGACAGACTGTCTCTTCTCTGTCTCTTACGACAGAGACACAATCTGTGTCTTCCTGCAGAGCCACAGTCTGTCTCTTCTCTGTCTCTTCCCACAAAGACACAATCTGTCTCTTCCTCTAGATACACAGACTCTATTCTTACAGTGACACAGATAGTCTTCTCCTCCAGAGACATATATTGTCTCTTCCCACAGAGACACCGACTGTTTCATCCTCGGATAGACTGTCTCTTCTTCCAGAGACAGTCTCTTCCCACAGAGCCACAGTCTGTCTTTTCTCCGTCTCTTCCCACAGAGACACAGACTGTCTCTTCCTTCAGAGACAGTCTCTTCCCACAGACAGACTGTCTCTTACTCCAAAAGACACAGTGTGTCTCTTTCTCCAGAGACACAGACTCCGTCTTCCTCCAGAGACACAGACTCTTCCTCCAGAGACAGAGACTGTCTCTTCCCACAGAGACACAGACTGACTCGTCCTCTAGAGACAGTCTGTGTCAGAGTGGAGTTTATCAAATACGAGCAGACTGTGAAGTTTCCTCATTAACACTGAGGCTGAGTCCAGTCCGGACTCTTCTGAAGGTCTTGGTTTGGTTGTTTTAGTTTGGATTCAGCTGCAGATTCAGACATGACTGACATAAACCAGGTTTAAACATCCAGTCTTCACTTGTCCACTTTCAACTGTTGGGTTTCAACAGTGATGGGTCGTGACCAAAAGAGCTAGACCTTCAGATTGGATGGAACATCCTACTGAAAACTACCGTTGAAGCCACAGAGTTATGATGTAAATACATCACTGTACATTCAGTTGTACAATTCAGTGACTTGCTGACAGGAAGTGCTTCTCCATGCTGGAGCATTTCATGGCGTCATTTTTAAACAGCCAGTAACAATCTGAACATAAATGTCAACCCAACACTAAACAGAACCAAAACCAATCACCCATCTGAACACCGAACCTGAAAAACTCCACCCTTTTCTGTCCCAAGAGTACCCAAAAGGCTAACACCGTCTCTTGCATTTAAGTACAACATGTAATGTCAATAAACTCGTGCTAAAACTTTACATCAACCCACAGAACTTCTTGTTTCTGTAAAATTTAATCATGTCTAGAAACCAAAATACAGCTTTAATTTAGGAAGTTATCCATGTAAACCTAAAATTTATATTTAACCTTCAGTTAAATAAGTTCTAAAGCAGCTACAATTTCAGAGTGGATTTTTTTATTTTACAGACTGCAATTGAATGCATCACAAATCTATGCATGGTAAACAAAAAAATGCTTTGCAGAATCATTTTTCTGAAACTCAGAGCCCCACCCACTCTACGTGAGCATTCTGATTGTTTAATAACTGGCAGGAAAATTAACCAAACTCCTCCTGCAGAGCCTCTAAGCTCAGCCTTCTCTGTTCACAGTGAAGTCCTGAAGCTTCAAACATGTTTCTGCGTGGAGACAAACGGTTAAAACAACCTGATTGGATAACTGGATATTCATGAATTAAAAAAGAAAAATCTTGCACAACTGCTAAGTAGTTTATAAAAAAAAAGAAAAGTTAGCAAAAAATAAAAATAAAGTGTACAAAACCAAATTCCAAAAAAGTTGGGACACTAAACAAATTGTGAATAAAAACTGAATGCAATGATGTGGAGGTGTCAACATCTAATATTTTATTCAGAATTGAACACAAATCACAGATCAAAAGTTTAAACTGAGAGAATGCATCATTTTAAGGGAAACATTTGTTGTTTCTAAATTTCATGGCGTCAACAAATCCCAAAAAAGTTGGGACAAGTCCATTTTTACCACTGTGTGGCATCCCCCCTTCTTCTTACAACACTCAACAGACGTCTGGGGACAGAGGAGACCAGTTTCTCAAGTTTAGAAATGGGAATGCTCTCCCATTCATGTCTAATACAGGCCTCTAACTGTTCAATCGTCTTGGGCCTTCTTTGTCGCACCTTCCTCTTTATGATGCGCCAAATGTTCTCTATAGGTGAAAGGTCTGGACTGCAGGCTGGCCATTTCAATACCTGGATCCTTCTCCTACGTAGCCATGATGTTGTGATTGCTGCAGAATGTGGTCTGGCATTATCGTGTTGAAAAATGCAGGTTCTTCCCTGAAAGATGACGTCTAGATGGGAGCATATGTTGTTCTAGAACCTGAACATAGTTCTCTGCATTAATGGTGCCTTTCCAGACATGCAAGCTGCCCATGCCACAAGCGCTCATGCAACCCCATACCATCAGTAATGCAGGCTTCTGAACGGAGCGTTGATAACAACTTGGGCTATCCTTGTCCTCTCTGGTCCGGATGACATGGCGTCCCAGTGTTCCATAAAGAACTTCAAATCGTGACTCATCTGACCACAGAACAGTCTTCCATTTTGCCACACTCTATTTTAAATGACCCCTGGCCCAGTGCAAACGTCTGAGCTTGTGGAGCTTGCTTAGAAATGGCTTCCTCTTTGCACTGTAGAGTTTCAGCTGACAACGGCAGATGGCACGGTGGATTGTGTTCACTGACAATGCTTTCTGGAAGTATTCCTGAGCCCATTCTGTTATTTCCTTGACAGTGGCATTCCTGTTTGAGGTGCAGTGACGTTTAAGGGCCCGGAGATCACAAGCATCCAGTAGAGTTTTACGGCCTTGACCCTTACGCACAGCGATTG